AGTACAGAGAACTTTGGATTTGGTGTCAGAAAATTCAGGTTTTGGATATGGTTCTTTCAAAATGGTACCTGTTTAGCTTTGAACAAGTAAAAAAATCAGTTGTCTCATCTCTTTTTATATTCCCTAATTTTTACATCTAGGCATAATGATGGCTATCTTGCATATCTTATAGCATTTATTCATACATGAAAGCCCTTTAGGGTTTGTAAGGCATTGTCAAATTCCTGTTGCATTTTCCCAACTCAAGGTTGGTCTCTGCGGTAGGTAGTCCTCGATGCACAACTGATTCCACCAAGGACATGGTCCTTAAACTTGGGCAAGTTACCTAACCTCAGCAATGATGTCTGTAAAATAGTGATTATAATAGTATTAATTCATATGAGCATTTTGAAAATTACACAAGCCAATTCAAATAAATTTTTATCAGAGCATTTGGTACATTGCACATACTCATTAAACAGTATTGACTATTATCCCTATTCATCATTACAAACATCATAATTTAGGTGTTTTTCATTTTAAGTGTTCTGTTGTTTAGCATATTTCCTTGCACACAACATGGATTAAAGTCAATAAGAACTAGTTTGGTAGAGGAAATAATACTGATTTTTGATTTTGCATGTGTCTTTGGTATATTGGTATAGATGATTACTGAGAATATTTTAGTCTTGGGAATCAATTTATCCCCCAGTTTTATCAGCTGCAAGTTGTAGAGATTCTTCTTCATAATTTTATTTTGGAATGTTCACTTGCAACAGTCATTAAAACTATTTTACCAGGATAAAAAATCTTAAGGGAATAACTAACTTTAACTAGTCTTCTTTAAGATTCTTAGCAGTAGTACAGCCTGATCAACAGTTAGAATTTGGAAACCTAAATCTTGAAAAAAAAAAAAAACTATTTCATCAAATACCTCTGAACTCACATACTATCGGTTCACATAGAAATACTCTTTTCTCTTGATCATCATTTGCTCTATCACTATTGCAAGGCACTCAGAGCTACTAGTTCAATGGATATGCATATATTTTTCAGTATTGAGATTTTTTTCAGATAATAATTTCTGAAAAAATGAATTTATGCATTGTTAAGATAGATATACTAGTGAATTTTAATGTAATGTGAATGTAAAATACTTGGGAAATGAAATGTTAAAGCCATACATTTATATGCATAAAATATACACCTTTTGAAATAAAATTTGATTTAAGACTACATATGCATACATCACATGCATCTTCTATTAAGAAAATGCTGGACTTCAGGCCATTACTAATTCAGCTTGTAAAGAATTAATGACAGACAGTTATTAAAGTGAAAATATGAAAGACCAGATTGTATCATTGTTATTTAGAGGAGTTGCTCCTTTTAGGAAGGGCCTTGAATCTTTATGACCTTTTCAATCAACGATAGGTAATAATTTACTGCTGAATGTGCTCATTGCAAAGTCTACTCATGTGCTGCACTAATCACTACATTGCCCCTGGTACGGGAGATTGTAAGATGAGCTATTATAAGATGGTGCCAGTGATTATAGGAACTATGAAAATGTGAAAAGATTTGCATCTTGAAATCAGTGTCATGGCTGGTACCAATAAGGTAGTTGAGGAAGAAGTTATTGCTGTAGTGTAGCTAAACAAGCAAAGTGGAGAATTTGTGCAATTTGTTTAAAGGAAGAGGAAAAAAAGAAAATAAAGCAAACAGAAACAAAAAAGAACTACCACCACCACAACTACACATAAAAACTTCAAAGCATTTTATTAATTCTCCGGGATTTCAGATGTTTATCTATGCCTTATATCTTATGATTTACCCTTATATCTTATGATTTACCTATTCCTGATACGGTAGTTTCTATGGTTCTAATTTGAGCTCAAAAGCAAAAATGGACTAATATTTTAGAAATAATATGAAAAGAAAAGTGTAACCTGATTTATCTCAACTTTATATTACTTTTCTTTTTTCTTAATTTTTCAATTTTGACATCCCTCCGGTCCCTTTTAGAAATACATTTTAATTTTTTTGAAAGGAATATTTTCTGTTTTTCTGATTTAAAATAACTGATTTTCATAATTAAAAGTTTTAATGAAAGGTTTTGAAGGAGAATGTAGAAGTTCTCAATGACACCTCTATTACCAGACATCTACTATTAACACATAGATTAGTGTTTTTCATGCATATGCAAATATATACATATAGATACTTACATTTTCAACAAAATAAAAATCAAGTTTGACTACTCTTTAATAATCCTAAATCTTTGCATGTATATTTAATAACCGATATTATTTTAATAATAGTTTAATTTAATTTAATTAATTTAATTGATTATTTAATAATAGTTATTAAGTAGTTATTGAAACTTAATAAACTTATTAAATAATAAGAGTTATTTAATAACTCTTTTTACAGTTATTATTTTGTAGATTTGAGTTTAGTCAGAAAAAAATGGGGTGTTTTAAGCTGGTGGTTTGCAACTCTTGGAGTAGGGGTTGGAAAAAAATCTAAACTTATAATTTTATTACACTTTGGATTATAGCATTTACATATGAATCAGAGTAAGTTTTCTATTGCTTCTATAGAGGCAATTTTCATGCATTTCTCCTCAATTTATAACTTTAGAACTCTAGATACTATACTTTCATATATCTCATTAGAGGAAATACCATTCCATAATAATCAAAGTATTTCAAAGTATTTTAAGGCACACATTTTTATAACAGAGTTTTAAATGAGGTGAAAAAGTAATATTCTATAACAATCTCATTTAACTTAGAATTAAAATATATGGTTATTTTTAGAATGTAGTGTGGCAAATGCTGTGGCCAACTGTATAAGAAAGAGGACCATGCCAACAGAAAGGATGAATATCTACCATTTATATTGACATAGATGGAACTGGAGAGTATTATGCTAAGTGAAATAAGTCAATCAGAGAAACACAATTATCACATGGTTTCACTCCTATGTGGAACATAAGGAACAGTGCAGAGGACAATAGGGATGGGGGGGGGAACTGAATGGGAAGAAATCAGAGAAGGAGATAAACCATATGAGATTCTTGACTCTGGAAAACAAACTGAGGGTTGTGGAAAGGGAGATGGGTGGGGGGAGAGGGTAACTGGGTGATGGGCATTAAGGAGGGCACATGATGTGTTGAGCACCACTGGGTGTTATACTGAACTGATGAATCATTGAACATTATATCAAAAACCAATGAAAAAACAAATAAATAAAAATAAAAGTAAATAAATTAAAAGAAAGAAAGGGACCATGAATAGAAATATTGAAGTTAGTGACTACAGTTCAAAGTAGGTGGGCAAAGTGAGTGGAGGAGCAGATACAGAGCTAGGAAATAAGTAGTAGTGAAAGAATAGGAAATAGGTGAACTCTTTGGCTTTTAGGTTGGGTGGAAGAGAAGAGAGCACTACGTTGTTCAGATGAATGTGTTCAGGGGGCCATTTCTTTGTGGGCATGTGTGGATGTTTAGGTAATTTAATGTTAGAGCAGTATGTAAACAAGCAACGTATACTAAAATTTGTATACTACACAATTTGAGCTTCATGATAACTTTTGACTAGGTATAAAATTGTATTTTGCGTTGTTTTATGATTATCTTATGCCCAAGGGATTTGGGATATCTGAATCTGATATGTAATATCCTGAGTTTTGAACAATCTGTCCAGTGTGCTCATAGCAGAAGTCTTCTTACTGGGGCCATGAAAACGTATACCGTTTACATAGACTTTTATAGAATGAAAAGTATATGCAATAAGACTGTCTTTATTCCAGTTAGGGTACTATTTTCTCCTTGACGATGTTTGAAAAGGTGAACTTCTTGTTTGTTTCCTCTTCACCACTCAAATAGATGATCACTTGTTTGAGTCCAAGTTCTGAGAATTTTGGATGATGGTAACTTCAGTTTATTATCATCACTATCCAAATGGATATCTGCCTTCCACACACTAATTTATTGAGAAAAGCAAAGGAATTTATGATTTCCTTTAAGTAATTCCACAAAGAAAATAAGACAGCAGCCCTTGGACTGGCCTCCTATGTCTCATGTACCATTCAGAAATTGCACTGCAATCGATAAAACTATAAAGAGCTGCCAGTTGAAACTCAACATTCTAGATATTGTAAAGGAAATTTCTGAGACCAGTGCAAGCCTTTGGTCTGATTACAAACACCATGATTTTAGTTCACTAACTTTCTTTACTCTCAAAGGACATACTATTAATTATGGACTTGTTTCTTGGTCATTATATGGTGAAATGTAAGGTGGCTACCTTGGCTTATGCTCCACAGTAACTGAGTTGGATTTTAAGCCTCACCACAATCTTTTGATCAAGGAAAGAGAAATCAAGAAATCAAGAAAACAGAAATAGTTTAATAATCAGGATATTGAGATATAAGGTTAGATCTTTGATACCATTAATTCTAAAGCTTTTAGTGTTTGGCTTTTTTTTTTTTTTTTTTTCCATCGTAGACACTTTTATTGCTGGAATCAGGTCTTAAGTTCTAGGGTGGTTCTGAAAGACCCCTCGGTGAGGAAATGCTGCAATCATTGTAAAAATAATTGTCAGCTGGACTAAGATTATGGTCACAATTAACAAAGACGTGCAGAGTTTCCACAGAAATAAGAGGATCTGCTCAACCACCAACCGTATAAATAAAATCGGGCTCTCCCCAGGAGCGACCTCGCCCGGGCGAGAGATGGATCCACGACGACACTGTCCCCACTGTGTGGCCCCGCAGTGGGACACCCCAGTTCCCCACCACATGGCCGAGCTGCGGTTCCTTGGACTTCTCACCGGCGGAGGAATCGTGGCGTCTTGGAGGGTCAGACCAGAGCCGGCAGACAGGGCCGCGTGGTGGTGGAATCACCCAGCATGAGGGCCCAGGAATGTTCACTTCACAATACGACAGGAACTTAAAGTCAACTTTGCTAAAGTGCTCAGAGACGTCTCAGAATGAAAACACAAACACTGATCACAGACATGGAACAGATGAGCTCAGATGCATCACAGGACCGAGGGAGGATGCTTCTCCTGGCTCCGCGAGGATGCGTGGATGCTGCAGGCCCCAAGCACGAAGTGGAGGCCGGGGAAGAGAAAGGAGCAGGCAGAGGTTCTCAGAGGGGCCGGCTTGGCATACTGTTCACTGTGCCCCCTCTAGAAGAAGATGATGTCTTTCTTGCTGCTGTCTTCCTTGCTGAGTGGTGTAGTGGGCAGTGGCACAGGGGAGAGGGTCAGGGTTTGGCTTTTAATTTAGATTTAGGCCCAGATGTTTTTGATCTGACAGCAACAAAAAAACTTGGAACAATTCTAGTTAAAGTAAGTGGAAGTGGTGTTTGTAGTTGATTAAATTCTTTATGAAAAAAACAATTTTTAAAATGCTATTCTCAAGTTTAAAAAGTAATAGAAATAGTGAAGAAGATTTTCTAGAGTACAAGAAATTGATATTTTTTTTAAGATCTCATTTATTTATTTGAGAAAGAGAGAGAGAGCACGAGTTGGGGGGGAGTGGCAGAGAGAGAGGGACAAGCAGACTCCTCACTCAGCAGGGAACCTGATGCGGGGCTCAATCCCAGGACCCTGGGATCATGACCTGAGCCAAAGGCAGAATGCTTAACCGACTGAGCCACCCAGGTGCCCTGAAATTGATATGATATCTGATTTAATAATGAATCAGGCAGAAGTTTTATGTTCTCTTGATCAGGAAGTCACATTCAAGTTTGTGAATTAAAAGCAAGAAAGATGATGAACAAGTCATTATTAGGGGATTTTTCAAGAATCTGAGATTCACAATTTACAATATTTCCCTGCTATCCCACAAGAGCCTTATTAACTCTGCGGCAATATTCTAGTATAAAAGTGGAGTAATCACGAAAGACTAAATTAAGTTTCACAACATTGTTTAAGAAGCCAGGGAAAGCTAATAACTTAAAAATATTTCCCTCAGAATGTTTAAATTTAAGAAGTGCTACTTAAATCATTGAACTTTAGTTGTCAAACAATTAAATTTTCTTATAGACCCAGGCCCTGACAAAAATGGTTAAGGAAAAATAAAAGGCACTAGTGAATGGCTATGTGCTTAGTGTATTTATAATTTATATATGATATGCACCCTGGGTAAAGTAGGTCCCAGAAATGGAAAGGCAGAATTGAGAGTGGAAAAGGTCAGAAATGTTTTTCTCAAATGGCATGGCCTATAGAAATGAATATGGAGCATCTGTCTAGGAGAAGCTGTATTTTTCCTTTTTGTCATTGAATAGAGCACACTCTGCATAAAGACTGTAGGATTCCGCTGGTGCTGATTGTGCTCCTCTTATTTGCAGTTTGACAAATTATTGGCTTCAGTGGAAATGGCTAAAATTCTCTTCTTTTAATTAAAGCAATCTTATTATTTCTCTAGATTTCATTTTATTAACTTTCAGACATAGATAAATGTAAAGAATTAATCATGCAATGTGTCATGGTCAGCACATACTTTTGATTTCAATAATTTTTCAGGGAATCTAAATTATTTTAAGAAAGGCAGACTTTAAGCAATGACTAAAAAAATCTATTTTTAATAATTTGTTACTTGATATTTAATGTCATAATATTTTATATCAAATTGTATATGGCTCCAATGACAAACAGCTAATGACAATGTGATAGATAAATATATTAAATAATGTTGAAACTAATATCTTAACCTGGGTTTTTTTTCTTATCAATTAAAAATTCCATGAGGACACATAAATTATACAGCTTTGAGTCTAGTACATTTTGAGTGTTTCTTGTACCTAGATCAGCATTTATTCTGACCTTGATTTAATAACCATATGGACAAGAAAGCTGAATTATTTTATGGAACTGTTGAAGCTAGAAGTAAAGATACTATGATAGAGCTTTTAACTCGGTGTGTGATCAAAATTTAAAATGTAGCAGGAAGATTTGAAGGAGCAATTTAAACATTTTAAGCATCCAGCAACTGTATCTAATTAGGGCACTACTAACATGTATGTTGAAATTTGGATAGAAACAATTTTCTAGGTGCTTTCTTCAAAAATATAATTTATTTCTTTATTCTGTGAAATAAACATTTTGAGGCAACATGTTATTTATGAGTACTGATTTTAACTTACTTTTTTAGAAATAGTTGTATTTGGTTTTGCTAGGAGGTTTGCTATATTGCGGTTGTATTTAAAGCATTATTAAAGTGTTAAGTATTTGAAAGTATATGTACCAATTCTTAACATAGCACATTAAGGGATATTTATAATCAGTTTGCTAGAAGTTGCTACAATTGGTGCGAATATTAAAATATGAGGCACAACAACAGTGCAGAGGATGGCCTGCTTAAAAGAGTCAATGTAATTCTTTAAATGAATAGATAATATCCAGGCAACAACCTTGAAAAGGATGTTGCTTATTCCTTTTTATTTATGAACAAATTGATTCAGTAAAAAGAATAGATTATACCTTAAGTAATGATTTATACAAAACAAATATGAGGATTTTATGTTATATTATATAATGGGTTCTATTAATATTTGAGATCCACTTACTCAATACTGTATGTGTCAGATATTTTACTAAGTATTAAAAAACAATAAGAGAGTCTCTTCTCCCAAGATGATTACATTTTGGTAGGAAAGGTAAGGGTAAATCATATAAATAAATATCTATTTATACATCCATATGATAAGTGCAAACTTAAATATTTGGATTATTATAAACATTTAAGTCATAGAAATGTATACCAAAATAAACTAAAAGGCATCTGAATTCACACAGTTTAATATTTGCTTTATAGATTTATATTGCTTAATCAAATGCAAACCAAATAACTACATATGTAGCCATCATAGCTATTTTTTTTTTTTTTTGTATTGATTACCTGTCTCCTTTTTTCTTCTCCTAGCCAGAGGTTACTGGGGACTATTTGAGCTGATGTTGGTGTATTGTTTCTTCTTTTTCTCTGTCTGCTTTTGTGTTACAAGCCTGTGCACTGCCAATATTGATCTTTGAATATCTATGGGTGTGTGAAAGGCTTGAATCACAGCAGATATAATTCTTAATAAGTGTAGAGTTGCTTAAATGTCAATCTTTGCAGTACAAAATTTGTAACACACACACTCATATTTCTTCCTTCTGTCGTGTTGGTTTTAGGTTAGAAATGTTGCCCAGCCTCTTTTGGCCACAATGGCTAGATTGAAATTAGACATTATACTGTTGTGTGTGTGTGTTTTTTTTAACTGAGTTATTAGATGTGCTCTTGAGGATTTACATACTGAGGATATAATATTGAAGAGATCTTCGTAGGAAATAGATTCTGCTAGGATTAATTTCAAGTCCCACAAATCATCATAGAAGAAAAGTCTTTTGATATTGCTTTTCCATAGACCAATCAACCAATTGTTTTTTTCTTACTTAATATCTTTCACATGTATATTATAACTAGCTGGTTTTAAGTTTATTAATTGAATTGGTTTAATGGTGGCATCAAGAACACTCAGTTTAGAAAAAGAGAGATGAACTTGAAATAGTACTTCAGAATCACATGAAGCCAATCTTCATTTAAAATTATCACTTTAGTATGGTGATTATCACAACAATAAAAAAATTTAAAAAAATAAAATAAAATTATCACTTTAAAATTATCACTATTTACTTTTTAGTATGAACCTCCCAGAGGGCTTTCATCATCTACTTGTGGCGTGCTTTTTATTTTTGTCTATTTCCTTAATACTTGTTTCAGTTGTTTTGGTAGTCTGTAGGATTGAGGTCTCATGGGATGATGTTATGGTGTCTTATAAATCTTGCTATTTTATGTTCATTTTATAGATGAGGTAACAAAATGCTATTGAGAGTGGAAAAATTTACAACAGGAAAGAAAGTCACTAAAATGCCAGATTTACTAATATACTATTCACCATATGTTTCAGATTTAAAAACAAAAGAATTTTTCTTCCTTCTTTTAAAAGCTAATCATTCTTGATATCTTTATACAAGTTAACTAAATAAAAATTGTTTTTTAAATGTAATATGATTTTGAGGCCAAATTCAAAATAATTGTATTGATATCAGACCAAATCTACTACTTTTTAGCACATTTAACACTTAGAGAATTTTTATTTATTTTGTTGACTGTTCCTTTCTATTAATTTGTTTATTTGTGTTATATTGCATAATATAAACCAATGCTGGGAAATTAAAACTGGAGAAATAGATACATCCAACTTCTATCACAAAATCCTTAAAATAAAAATTAATGAGCATTACAGTGTAAATTTAAACATATAATGAAGCTTTACATCTGATAAATGTATAAGTACTCTCTAATAAAGAAAAAAAAAGGAATATTAACCCGTGAAAGAAATCTGTATATAATTGTCTTCAGGTAAATGTAATAGTATTTGGGCTAAAGGTTGAAATATTGGTGTTTAAATCAGGGTCTATCATTGTGACCATAAGCACTTTACTACTGTCAGGATCATATCCTTATTTTTATAATTAAAACTAAGTGGTGGGAGTACCTAAGCTATCTATTCTTCTGAGAATCTAAGCTTTCTCTCTCTGAGTCTTCAAAATTGATTCTGGCTCTACTTCTAGTTTTTCAAAGTATACAATGTAACAGGAGTGCTCTATAATTATTTTTTAGCCTTGTTTATTTATTTTAAAATTTCTGCCATATCTTTAGAATAAGGAATATTTTTAAAGATGCATCTATTTTAAAGTCCAAAAAATATATCTTTCAATAGTGACAAAGATATTTTCTTGTTATATCTCTTGTTAAATTTTTGTGATTCAAAATTAAGTTGGGATGAGGGTAATATTACTATGTGATGTACAAATTATGCTTACAACTTACTGTATGCAAACCCACAGTCAACAAATTCATCAGTAACAAGAAAGGAAGAGTTAAAAGCATTTATTTTGTATTTGTAGGCACTAAATCACAAAATGTTAGATTTATTGGACAAAACAAAATAACTATGAAAATTAAAATGTCTTATAGTGTGTTCTAACCGATTTGGGCTGCTATAACAAAAGTATCATAGACTGGGGAATAATAAACAGAAGAGATTTATTTCTTATAGTTCTGGAGACTGGGAAGTCTAAGATCAAGGTGCCTGCACGTTGGTGTCTGGTGAAGACCTGCTTCCTGGTTCTTAGACAGCTGTCTTTTCATTGTGTACTCACATAGTGAAGGGGGCAATTGAGTTTCCTGTAGTCTCTTTTGTAAGGGCACAATTTTATTTATGAGGGATCCACCCTCATGAACTAATTACCTCCCAAGTCCCCGTCTCTAAAAACCATCACATTGGATATTAGGTTTCAAC